ATACATATATATTTATATATTTATATATATATATATGTATATATCATATCTACATATACTATCTACATATGTGTAAGTACATAGGCAAAATGTAAATATATATGTAACATACTATATATGCATGTATAAGTAGTATGTGTGTAACCACGAATATGAAGATACATCGTTATACCCATACAGATGATATAGCACTATGTTTCGAAGCTTTTGCAAAAGGCAGGTCAATCAAGTTCCCAGTCGGTATGAGAAGTCAGTCTACTTCAGTACAACAAAACGAAAACAAAAGCAAGAGACACACATGCTGCAGCCACAACAGCTTTACGGTGCATGCATCCAAGAGCCAAACTGATAAGCCCAGGACAAGCCAAAGGACCGGACAGGACGTAACCAAGCATGTCACACGTCATGGCCAACTGATGCATAGAATCATTTTTCTATGAATCAGTGGAGCTCCCTCATGAATCAGTTGATTCGGCCGTGATCCAATGCATTCTCTGAGGCTTCAAGAATAATGCATTGGATGAGTGGCATGCATGCATGGCATGGAGATATATATGCTTGTATGTATGCATGTGGGTATATGTGGAGTGTGCATGTATAAACTATATAAAGAGATACATGTATGTGCATGTGTGTGCTGGTTTGTGTGCCTGTGTACTTTAGGGTTTAGGGTTTGAGGTTCAGGGATGAAGGTGATGTTGTCATGCATGCAATGCGTGTTGAGATGTTGCAGACAGCACTAGGCAACAGCTGGAGCGGCGACAAAGCATTTAGCAGGAAGCGACCTCCAGTCCCGGTCCTCGTGCATCTACAGCCGACTATACATCATAGACATCGGCATCGTTCAGAAGCTTCCTGCACGGAATTGCAGAAAACACAGCAGATCTGCCGATGGATGCCACAATGGATGTATGATGCACAGTGCAGTCCTGAACCCGGCTCCTGGCACCAGCACAGACCGGCTCCTGGCCAAATATTTGGCCACCCGGTAAAGCTGAGCCTGGGATACGAAGCAGCCCAGATCCAAGCTATAATTGCAGCAATTGCCGATTGGCAAAGAATTGAATCTTTAAGGCTAAACGACACTTACCAAGGCACATCCAAGAATGGATCGTAGGCCTGCTCGTCCCAAAGATCGACTGTGCCATCAGCTTTGTAAAAGAACTCAAACCTTGGACAGCAACCAGCAAAACTGGGGCAACAAAACACAGTCGACAGGCACAAGCTCCATGTGTTCTCATAGTGGAGCCAAGCCACCCTGTGCACTCTTCCTCACGACTGAAAGGACCTAGCGGAATGCATGGTTCTGTGGGCGCCTGCCGGGACACCAGTTGTCCAATTTTCTTGGCCAGCGCTGGCGGATACTTCCTCAAATTAAGCAAGGGCAGGCAGACGACAACACCCGAAAAGAATCAAAGCAGAGAAGCACATGTGATGTGGATAGTGTCTTCTGCAACCACGATAATTGTGCCGTGCATCTGGGTGGTCTTCAAAGATCGGGTCCCAGTCACTTTGCCATCAGTGGTGCGCTTAGTGGGTTTCGGCAGGCCAAGGCGCACACGAAGAGACTCGGAGAGCTTCTTGCGACGGAGGGTGAACGGCCGATAAAGTCCTCCGACCCAAAGCCTTATGACGAGTCTATGGTTTGCGGCAAAGAGTTACATGTGACATGTGCGGCAACAAAAGGCGATGCAATCCAGGAGCTTGTTCGAATAGAATGAACACAATTTCCAACTCCAATGCCGGTATGCCCCAAGGAAGGCATTGATCTTGAAGTACTGGCATTTCAGCAAGGCAGCAGCAACGGCTGGATGTTCCTGCATGAGGGAGCTTGCAGGCTGCTCCAGAATCCAAGCGCCACGGCACCAATGGATGAGAAGCATCACCAGGGCAGTCCTGCAGCAAACTTCCAATTAACGCAGCACCGTTCAACCTCAAGAGCAGCAGTCCTCGCAACCATTCGGTTTGCATCGGCAATATTTGGTAGCTCGGTTCGCCCCAAAGGATTCTCCCGACCTCGACACAACAGAAAGTGGTCTGAGGATGCGTGTTCCAACCTGTATAATTGCGCGAGAGCTGCTCCTCTGCGAGGTGTGGCGATTCATCCAGACCCATGAGGAACAAACCGGCTGGAGCATCGCGAACCTGCAACACACAGCGATTAGATTGCATTTGCTACGGTTGCATTCTAACACCCAAACGATCCACCTTGGCCCAGACCGTTTCAAACTCAAGAAGCTCGCCAGGATGAGCCTTTGTAAACACGTGATCTCATAAGAGTGTGTTTGCACAGAACCCTTACCAAGCCAGCTAGTTTGGGGTTTCCACGCAAAGCCGGCCGAGCTGTTGATATCCATCGCCGGGTGGTGCTCGATGTCGTGGGAGGCAACACTGTAGCCCAGTTCCAATAGGGATTCCTGCAACACAAGTCACGAGGTTACTCCATCTGTAGCAGCACAGCACTCCATGCAAATGATGGCCTTGACCCGACCTGTCCCGGAGAACAGGTCGATTGCATCCCACTTTTCCGTCGTGGGAATTTCTCGGTTCCACATCCTCGGGGTTTCCGACTAATTTAGATATTCTGCCATTCTGGATGTGCGTGCGCTTGGGATGCTCTCGGGCCCACGCAAAAGGAGCAAACACAGGATCAAGAGTTTCGGGATCCCAAATTCAACCATGGACTCGATGAGGAGGTGGTACGCATCGGCAGTCCTCTCAGGCATTTGGCATCTTGGTTTTCAGACTGGGAATCAGAAGTATCACGACTGCTTTCAGCAACCATATCGCTCCTGAAGAGGGCCAAGACCAGCAGGAGCCGGAACATCTTGTGTATGAAACACTACGAACACTTCAGTTTGGCTTCGGAACCCAGCAGCTGCCTATATGTGCCCTTGTAAGAGCAGAACTTGATACAAAGCCTGTGTGTGGGGCCCTTTGCAAGGGCCTCGCATGAAATGTTGAGCCTTTTTGCCACGGCACAACTTCATGTGTTGGCATGCACTCAGCAACGTACAATGCACTCTCCGATCTGCACTGAAAGGCAACGCAAATGACATGCAACGAGCTTTTGCGAAAGCAACTAAGCAGGTTGGTCGCACCATTCTCTGAAGGCCGGCTCCGCTTTCTCGAAGGAGTGCTGGCTTCATCTGTAGAAGTACCTGGCGAGGATTCTGGCTTCACTTCTGAGAAAATCAGCACGAAGAACGCATATGGCTCTGCAATTCACCACAAGCAGGAAGGAAGTGATGCATGAGCAGGCGCAGAAACTTGTTTTTGTCCTGTGCGGTTCCCGGGTGAAGCTTCGCAGGCCTAGTCCTGTTTCTTGAGATCACAAGGGACAGCATAGAGTCCCAGGACATCCTTGGCGCGGTTGCGGATGTCTTCTTCGGTGACCGGGGCTGCCATGTCTATGTTTCCGATCATGTACTTCCAGAAGTGCACCTCGCGGGTGGAGGGTGGAGGGTGGAGATTAAAATGTTGCCAAAGACCGAGATCCCCGAGCCTGAGACTTCACGTAGCAGCCAGGCTTAATCTGCGGATGGATATGCCTGAGTTCGAGATTCGATCGTTCTCGATCCAGAAATGCATGCAATGCTGTGTTTGTTGCATATTGAATCAAGGCAAGGCACTCAACCCACAGCTGCTTTATGGCAGAGAACCTTGTAGACCATGGGAACGTGCCGGGAGGGGATCTGCCGGCGAAGTTCGTTCCTGCCGCCATTCCCGATACGACCTTGGGCTTCTCGCCAGGAGGCTCATGCTGCGGAGCGTTCTCCGCTCGGGGAGCATCCTCCCTTTCACCATCCTTCCCCGCATCATCGGCCTCAGGCCCCCTTTCCCCATCCTTTCCCGCATCATCGGGCTTTGCGGCGGGCGGCTGAGCTGCTGCCTTGGGCTTGCCCTTTTGCTGCGCAGGCTCCTTACGGAGCGAAGCCAATTTAAGCCACAGCAACAAAGCCAAAAACGCAAGTCATCCTGCCACCCAATCATGTCAAAGCTCCGAATGTTTGTAATTGCAGCTCTGCTACTTGTGCGTGCGGGCTCAGGAAGGCCCTCTCCTCCCTTACATCAGCCTCCACGCCGAGGTCGTTGAGCTCCTCTTCGGAGTCATCAATTGTCAAGGGTACCTGGTCTTGAACAAATTACAACCAAGCTATAGAGGGCTCCTAAAAAACACGGAGGGTTCTCAGGTAAGCTCATCGACAGGAAATTGCCACTCAAATTTCTCAAGAAGCAAGCAGACCCTCGAAAGTGGCAAGGTTGATCACGACAAGCAGCACAGACATGTTGCCACAGAGGCCATTGCAATATGCAAAATTCAAGATAAGCTGCATAGCCAAAGATTTCCTTGCAGATGTTCTGGTAATTCTGCTGTGCCTCCTGTACAGGCAAAAACTCCAAATCGCACTTCCACTTTCGAAAGCAAATACGACTGGTTGCCATCCGAGCCTTGATCTTGATCCTCTTGACAGAGGGCCTAAAAACCAAGGAGTTTGCATGCATTTAACAACAGGAGTCTTATGTCTTCACACTCGACAAGGAAGTGTTGATCATATTGAGGACCAGTAGACTCACATGTACACACAGACTCTCTCTCTCTCACAGTTCATCCACGGCCGAGTCGCTCGTTCACTTCATCCTCCGCCTCCTCTGGCTCGTCTTCCTCCGCCTTGGAGGAGCTTTTGCCACGCGCGGGCGAAGGAAGCAGCCTCGGTTGAAACTACGAAAATGTTTGCACGCCAGGGCCAACATATGCATGCAACCAGGGTACTTTTCTTTCAGCAAATCCAGCTTCGGAAAGTAGCTGCTCCTCAGATAGGTCACAGGCACGGTGCGAAGCAGGCTGGTTAACTATATATGATTGAGCCAATCGGCGGGGCCCGGGTCTTCAGGGCTCGAACCCTGGCGCAGGAGCGCCTCGTGAGGCTTGCGATCAATGCCTGATCAAGGCGGCTCAAGTTCGGTGCCGCCACCACAACCTTGCATGATTCAGGACAATGCTCATGAAGCATATGACGTCATATGCTTCATGTCATGCGAATATGTAATTGGCATCCGAGGCTCGGCTTGGTCAAAAATTCGCGGAGCCGGGGTTCTGGTCCACGCTGCAAGGCCTGAGGTGAGAAGCGTCACAGAAAGCAGCGACGATTTGAAGATATCTCGACCTCTGCACAAAATTATGAGGTGCAAACGGAACTTGTCAAAGAGCGCATCCAGCAGCGGAAACATCATCTCGTTTATGTAGTCAAGGGGGACCTGCTCGTCCGGGTTGGCAAACCTGCGGCAGCCTTCGAAGATTTGCTCCGCACCTCGAATGCACGAGAAGACACAAGACATGACACTGAGCCACACAATTCCTCACGACATATTAATAGACAAGAATCTGGTGGCTTTCAGCATGAGCGGCTTCATCTCACTCACCATCGTCATGACCGTCTCGGTTCAGGACACCCACTCATGAAGGCAAAGCAGCAAAACAGAGGCCGCAGACTGGCAACAAGTCATCGTGAGGAGCCCGCATACCCGTCGGCCATCACATCAGATTCGACCTCCGGAAGAAGCAAACCCACACTGCAAATGTTTGTCTGAAACCACGATTGATCTGCGAGAAATATGTGCCTCGTCATCAGCACAAGCTTCAGCCGAAGAAGCCGCAGGCGGTGCATCCGAGGAAGAGGCAGCCATGACCCCCAGCCAAAGCTATCTAGCTCAGGAACTGCAAACCTGCGTATATATTAGGCACTGTCAGCATCTGTCTTTGGACATGTACACAAGTAACAGCATGAACTGTTGTGTTGGCGTGCTGTGTTTTCATTCGTGCTGTAGGAACCTAGCGATGCTTTGGCCTGGGGGGAGGGAAAACCGGTTTCGCGACACACGGGGGCGGAGTTGGAGGCAATCGCGCCGGCGGGGGAGGCGGGTTTATTTTGCCAAACCCTTT